TGTCTCTACTCTTAGGTCATATATCACCTTGTTATGCACGTTATCAGTAGATCAGATATGTATTAGTACAACAATAAATCAGTATTGCTTCAGAGAGGAATACTTTTGAAAGCTTGTCTTTGAAATATTATGTTAGTCCAATAAAAAAGGTATCATTGCATCCTACAACAATAAACATATATATAAGATGATAGTAGCATCTAATGCACCCTTATGATCAGGTATATCAAAGACTATACAATATAAGAAATAGAAGATACATAAGTACCAGCATTTTTAACTGATCTGAGGCAATTCAAATAGTAGGTATGTAGATTAGTTCATGCTTGTTTCTCTGGGGTGGGGGCCCTGTTAAGAGTGGTCTAGTGTGCACTTCCTTGAATAATCTCCCCGGACGTATCCCCTGTTGTCCTGCAACGTGTCACTGCTTGCCTTTCTTCCATCTCTGACTGGATGTCCTCCCGCTTTCTGAAACTAAATCTCTGTAAAACTGAGCTCCTTGTTTTTCCTCCTCCTAATACTGACCCTCCTCTTTCGCTCTCCCTTCAAGCTAGTGGTATCCACGTAATTCCATCCTTGCACGCGCACTGTCTTGGTGTTATACTTGATTCTGCCCTCACCTTTGAACCTCACATACAGTATTTTACCAAATCCTGTAGATTCCATCTTAAAAACCATATCCCACATCTGCCCCTTTCTTTTGCAAGATGCTACCAAGGAGCTTGTCCATGATCTAGTTATTTCCTGCATGGATTAGTGTAACCCTCTCCAAATTGGTCTTTCCAAAAACTGCATTGCCCCACTACAGTTTATAATAGACGCTGCCGCCAGACTGATTTTCATCTCTAGTCGGTTCTCTCACACCTCACCCCTCTATCAGTCCTTAAATTGCTAACCCATACCTATAAAGCATTGACCAATTCTAGCCCCTCTCAGATCTCTTCACAGATCCATAGGTATGCCTCTTCTCAGTCGCTCTGCTCTGCCCGTGACCTTCTCCTGTCCAATGCTCGCACCCTTACGGCGAACTCACGCTTGCAGGACTTCTTGTGGGCAGCTCCCTTCCTATGGAATAGCCTGCCACTGCCATCAGAATCTTAGACCAGGGTCTTCAATCATTTAAAAAGTGTCTTAAAACCCATCTCTTTATGAAAGCTTATGGCCTCCCAGAGTAACCTCTACCTCACATACCGGTCTCTTGCTCTCTCCTAAAGGGCAGCACTCTACTCTCTCCTCCAGTTCTGCTTCACTCCCACCTTACTTGATTGCTACTTCCTGTCCTATTGTGTCTTACACCACACCTCGGATAGACTGTAAGCTCGTTTGAGCAGAGTCCTCTTCAACCTATCGTTCCTGTGAGTTTTCTTGTAATTGTCCTATTTATAGTTAAAGCCCCCTGTTTACAGAATCTGTTGGTGCTATATAAATGGTAATAATAATAATAATAATAATAATAATGGTTGCGCTCCTCAGAGTCTTGACTAGATTGTGCAAGTTCATTTGATATTGTTTATCTGTGTGTTCTTTAATTAATGTAATAACTGATTGGCAGTATTGCTGGATTTTGTGGCAGCTCCACCAGATGTGGATCCATAGACTACATACAATGCAGCCAAGTGGTCTAAATATTGATTTCGATATAGCATGTTTTTTTAATACATTTTTCTAACTTTTACTAAATTATTTATATTTTTTACCAACATCACTAATATCTTTTTAGTTATTTTTCTTATCTATTATTTGTTTAATTTGAAGAAAAAAAAATTTTTTATTTTTTTTTGCATATTTCCTATTTCTACTGTTTTATTATTTATTTATTTTTTATTTTATTTCTATCCTAATTTAATTTATTATTCTTAATTTTACTCTTTATTTTTATGTGTGATTTTATTTTTGCTATTTGGGATCCTCAGAAGAGAGAAGATTTAAATGTTACATCTTCTATGAATATAAGTTTGTGAGTGCAATACTTACCTAATTCCCTGGTTCCCTGTGTCCTAGACAGATGGTAGCCAGTCTCTCTTGTTTGTTTTTCCCAGACCTTGCGCCACTATTTTTTTAATGTATACCTCTCTTATTGTTTCAATATTCTTCATGGCTCTCACCGGGTATGCCCCCTGCTTGCTCGGCAGTTAAATTCTATGATGGCTCTACTCGGATACTGACACATAGATTTGCTATATCCTGTGGACCGTTCATCACTCCGATACATCACATGGAGTTGGCATGCCCTCAGCTATGACCAAGTAGTTGCCAGCGTTCTGTGCCCCATGATGGCCTGCTTTGTCTGTGCCCCAAGATCGGCCTGCGTTGTCTGTGCCCAAAAATTGGCCTGCAGTGTCTGTGCCCCTTGATTGGCCTGCGGTGTCTGTGCCATCACCCCGGGATGAACCCGGTTTGGCTACCCATCTAAGTACCCAGATACATAGCGTATATCTTGCCTTGACCACATATTTGGGGTACTGCCCCTTTTGTTCTGCCGGGGTCCCTGAGCATCTCCATAGTTACATATCAGGGTCCTGACTAGGGCCGTTCCTGGATCCTCTCAGGTCAGGGGCTCTAAGGGGACTCAGTAGAGTCAGGCTCTCACATGAGATATCAGGCAGGAACGCCAAGGTAATATGGGAAGGTTGAAGGCCCTAAACCTCGACCCTAGAAAAGGGCAAGGCTCTAGCACAAGGACAGGGTGTTATGCTACAAGGGGTTTTAGAATTGGAACTCAACTGCAGCTTGTAGAACTCCTTAATTACAATAACAAGAAAGCGGAGAATTATTAAGGATACTGTAGCTTTAAAGCAAAGTGGTGTTTGCAGGCAGTTAGTGAAGAAAGCGAAGTCTTAATGAATGCAAAAATATTTTAGTAACTGAGGATTATAGCATGCAAGTAACAATGCATTAGGAAGTAACTGCAGATTATATCAAGCAAGAAACAGTTAATTAGTAATTACATCTTCAGAGGTGGAAGTGAATAGTATACTTAAGATTGATGGGAGTTGTCCTCCATGGAATAGCATGCAAGTAACAATTCATTAGGAAGTAACTGAAGATTATAGCAAGCAAGAAACTGTTCATTAATAAGTAAGTCTTCAGAGATTAGAGTAACTAGTATACTTAAGATTGATGGGAGTTGTCCTCCATGGGAATGTATAGCTTGAATCCAAGGGATGAATGATATACACAGTCCGGTTTTCAGGAGACTCCAATACAATCCGCGGTCAGAGGTACAGAGAAGGCAAAATCCTTTATAATAGTCAAAGGTTTGGTAACTTTGTGAACGAAGAGCTTAGCCAGTGTTTGAATGCGGAAGTAGGTCCGAGAATCACCAAGCGGTTTGAATCTGGCGCGGTCTCTCTATATAGCGTAAGAGAGCCATGTCAGAAAGGGGGCGGGGCCGGCTCCGCATACCGGACACGCCGGAACGGAGCCGGAACAGATACGGCGTGACACAGGGTTCTGTGGGCTTCGGCTCATCTGTCCAACAGAGCCGTCTCGCCAACGGGGGGGAGGAGCTCCCCTTACCGCCCCTGAACTCCTTGGGTGGTGGCAGGCGGTCCAGGTTCTTTCCTCGGACAGAGGATTCTTGCAGGAGCAAGGATGTGCTGGAGACCTCTGTGTGACCTGGCGGACTCGGGGGTCTTTCTACGCAGGCACCGCCTACCCATAGGCTGGAGGATGTTGTATTCCCTGGTCGCTACGGGCAAACCCCAATTCGACCTGCGACCCGTGGGACGCCCAGACCCCATGCAAATTTTTCGCAATCACCTGACACAGCGGGTGTGCTATCAGATACGCAATCCTCTGGTTGTGGGGGTAGGGTGGTTTATGGACGAAATGGCCCAGGTCACTGGTTAGGGGATTGGACCCCTTGCCCCCGGAATTTCACATTTGTGTCCACTTTCGGATCACATACGAGACGGGACCCCGAGTCGGGGGGGCTGCTGGCTGCCCTGTCTTGGCGCAATTTTGACCGTTTGATGTGCTGAGCCATGGCTGGAAGGCTTAGGATGGAGAATGAGGCCTACTCACAGGGCACTTCCCGAGTCCCGATTTCATATTGGGACTGGGCTATGCGCTCTATTTGCCGGTTGGGCCTTAATTAACGCGATGCCCTGCACCGCAGAGGGCTGCAGCCCTCGTTAGCAATTGGACTTGGGATAAAGGGTTCTGCGCCCCTTTTGAGTTCCCTCACGGGAATACACATGAACATAACCCCATTAGTTGCATTGAATTATACACGGTCCTCGAAGAATTTCTTGGGACCGCAGGGTCCATTCCTGGTGACGCGCAACCTTTCTACCTGGTGAGGTAAGTATCTGGCGCACCATTTTTTGGTGTGAGGATACATCTCTGGATGTCAGGTTGGATGAATTTAGGGTTATCTGAAGACCCCTTTTTTCGCTTTTTCCGCGTGTTTGGACCCGGTCACGGCGCTTCTCAGATATAGGAGGTTTCGCTGTACGGTCTACCTGGATGGGCTGCTGGACCCTCTGCGAGGTAACTCCCATGGATTTCGTGTTCAACCATGGGACATCGACCCCCTCTTCATCACAAGGAGTAGAGTTCGGGTGGTCGGATTGGACGCAAGGGGGTGCCTCCATGCCTTCCCCTGTCCGAGTCCTCGAACGTTTGGAAAAGTTTTTTGTGGAGGACTCTTCGTCAAGACCGGAGTCCACTGAGGATGTTGGACACGTATGGTGGACCTTCTCTCTGTATTTATTATGGGACATACCTGGGCAGTTTCGCTACAGGGACACACAGCGCCTGAAGATTCTTCTTCCTCATAGGCCTTTCGGCATCAGAGTAATTTCCTAGTTGGAGATGGTTCGGGATTCAACATCAACTGACTGGAACGGCTTGTGGGATCCTTCTAGAGTCGGAGTCTGGCGGATGCATTTCAGATCGCAGCATCCTCCTCCAGACGAGCTAGGCAGCGGGGGGGCATGGCATCATGCACCTTGGAGGAGCCCGCCTTTGGATGACCTGTCAGGTCCCGACCAGCTTCAGCTGGCTAACGGATCCATTTGCTCAGCGATGGACGCTTCCCTCCAGGGGTGATTGTCATGGAGACACTGACAAGTTTCCTCCATTTGTTTTGGTCCCAGGGCCTTACTGCAGGTTTCTCTGTCTGCTGGTATTTTGGTAGTACGGCCTCCGCTTTGGCAGGGATTCCCTGGCCCTGTCCCATCTGGTCCCCGGGGACTGGAAGATATTTTGTCTGCATGGCAACCCTGGTGTAGTTGGGCCTGGAGCGGATTACCGATCCTTTTGCGGACCCTGTTACAGGGTTGGAGAGTGTTTCCGTCACAGCTGTTGACCGGGGACAGTCGTATCATTTAGATTAGGTAGCTTGAACAACGGCTTTTGGCGGTCCACGCACTGCTTAGAATTTCCCCTTTGATCAGGATCTGATGATTACTATGCTGTACAATACAAAATGACAGCTTATTGGGGTTTGGGGTAGACTTATCAGGGCTTTTTCTCTTTCCGACTAACAAGCTAACTCAGTATTGCAGCAGCGGCAGTTGATCTTTACTATAATATAGTGAGACGATCTATATAGACATAATCACTAATATTTAGCCATTAGTAACTGCATTTTTAGTTTCCAGCAACGATCTGAGATTCTCCCACTTAGAATACGTAGGAATAGTACACAGTATTCATTGGGACGTCTGGTAGATTAATTTATTCTTCGGCTAGTTAGCTTATTTAGTGGGGTTTCGTAGAGGTAGGTGCCCATGAAGGCACAGGTAGTTTTTGTTAATATTTTCTTACAACTCAGATTGGGATCTTTATTCATTTCTACCTCTTATGGACATATATTTCTTCACATTGGTTTGTAGTATTAATCAATAGTAAGCAGTAATTTGCAACTATCTAGCCATCTGAAAGTATCAATCTAGAACAATTCTATACACTATCTTACTGCTGATTATATGTCAAATGATCAATTTGCAACAATTTGGACATTATAATCTTTTAATTGATGTGTACTATTTATCTCTTTATACTCCTTCTTGGTGTATTGAGAGTGTCTATATTCACCCTTTATCTTATTTTAATTAGACTATTAAAAGTTAACTTTTAACCTTACCTATTCTATGGCGGTAGTCCTTTCTTTTTTTCTTTTGAATTATATTAGTTAGGGTTAACCCCTTCACTGCCTAAGTTTCAATATCATTAAGCTTCCACTCTCCTTTTCTTTTTCTCAAATTGTTAATTACTGGGTTTTAATACCCTTCTCTACAGAAGCGAATATTTACTTGCTCTTTCAAATGACGGATATTTTGGATAAATTATCTGATTTTACTATAAATCCAGATGATATTCAGAATGTATTTTCAACTGACCCTCTAACTAAGAGTAACCATAATAATATTGATATTAATGACGCTTTCTTTGGGATACAGAAACTATATGAACAACATGTTAGAAGTTTTTGGGAATTGACTAGTTTGAACCAGTATATAGATCAAAAACTGGTTCCTAGAGGTCTTCGCCCCGAGATATCAGTACCTGATAAGATTCAAACTGACGAACAACTAAGAGAATGGAATACAATTCTCTTAGATTGTTCTGCTAAACTGATGACCTTTCTAGTTAAACTCGAAACCATACATTTAAAAGAGACCAATATTAAATTACAAAATGAGATTGTTGCAATAAAAAAGTTTAAGGCTGATGACCTTTTTTCTCTTATGGAAATTAAGTTACAAAAAAACATTGAGCATTTCAGACAAAATCTTAAAATCAAGAAACATTCAAAGTTTCAAAGGGATTTTAATGACTTTAAAGAGGGAGAGATTTTTCGTAAAAAGCGTAAACCACGCAGAAATTTTAGTGGTCAAAGGGGCTCCATTTCTGCAGGCTTTACTTCTGCAGATACCGAATGGTCTGATTCAGACACGGGCTCAGTTAGATCAAGACAAAGACAATATCCTAAGAATATCCATAACAGTGACCCTGCCCCTAACTATTCACCTACAAGGAGCATTTTAAAGAATACTGAAAAATCAGTTGCTTTCTTGGATGCTCCTATTACTTCTGATATAAACAACTCTACTGTCTCAAAAACTTTTTTAGGACAGGATCCCCCTCGCCAACAAAGGGGGAGATTGAGGGACAGGGATCGTTGGGCCTACAAGAGAAAAGGTCGAGGCCAGAGGTTCTAAACTTCAATAAAGTCATTAATCTTTCCGATTTCTCCCTCCAACCACGTCATATTTCCCTTTTGAATAAGGGTTTATCATTTGTACCCACTCCAGGGCACAATAAATTCAACTGGGCCAAAGACATAAACCTTTTTGGTAGAAAGCTAGCACTGAATTTAATGCATTCCAAAAGGGACTTATTTCTGGCAAATGAGCTAGGCTTATCCCTGAAAGATTTTGAATTTTCAAAAATGCTCACTAATCTATTGGAAGAACAAAACACCAACAAACCTTTAACAGAATTAAGACCTCAGAGTTGGTTTACACCGAATTTAAAGGATACCCCACATGTTGATTTGTTCGTGGAAATGACCACGAGTGATTTGGAAAAGAATGTTTATGAACATCCACCTACTAACAACTTAACCTTTAATGAACGTAAAGCCCTTAAAGAATTAAAAATGCTTGACAATATTATCATAAAACCGGCTGATAAGGGCGGTAACATTGTTCTTTTGAACAAAGATATGTACATAGACATGTGCATGGTACATCTGAATGATACAAATAATTACAGTGTTCTTCCGTCGGATCCAACTGATGTGTACATAAAAGAATTTGAGAACCTTCTTACGGAAGCATTGGAACATAAAATAATCAACTCAGATGAGTTTAAATATCTTTTACCTCATAAACATCCTACAATAGCCACTCTGTATTGTTTACCTAAAATACACAAGAACATTAAGACACCTCCAGGAAGACCAATTGTCTCTGGTAACAACTGTTTGACAGAAAGAGCCAGTAAATTTGTTGATAAAATTTTACATCCATATGTGATCAATTTACCATCATACATACAGGATACCAAATCTACTTTGTTGATCTTAGAAGGACTTCAGGTGCCACCATACACCCTACTAGCAAGTCTTGATGTGGTATCCCTGTATAGTAATATTCCGCATAAGGCAGGTCTGGAAGCTTGTCGCTTCTTTTTAGAATCATCATCATATGAAGAAGCACAAATTTCATTTATCATCTCACTTCTAGAATTTATCCTGACTCATAATTATCTTATATTCAATGGCAAGTACTACTTACAAACTACCGGAACTGCTATGGGTACTACTTGTGCCCCCACTTATGCTAATCTGTTCTTAGGCTGGTGGGAGGAAAAAATTCAGAGAGATCCACAATATAGTCAATACCATGGATATATTTTGAAGTGGTATAGATATATTGATGATATGCTCCTGTTCTGGACCGGGCCGGTACAAGCTTTTGAAGATTTTGTAAAAAGTTTAAATAACAATCAAATTAATTTGACACTCACTCACGTCATTGACGAGAGAGAATTGGTGTTCCTTGATCTCAAAATTGTGCTAATAGAGGATGGTACCATCCAAACAGAACTTTTTAGAAAATCAACATCAACCAACAGTCTTCTCCATTGGGAGAGTCATCATCCTTATAAATTGAAGGCCTCAATTCCATATGGCCAATATTTAAGAGCTAGGAGAAACTGCTCACAAGACTCTACTTACTATCAGGAATGTCAAACCTTAAAATTACGATTCAAAGCTTTGGGTTACCCTAATAAAGTTTTAAAAAGGGCATACCAACGAGCTAGTGCAACAGACAGAGTGGTGAGTCTGAAATCTACACGTAACAAACAAAACACCTCAACTCCGAGATGTATCGCTACCTTTGATAGTGGTTGGAGCCATATGACTAAAACCTTTTCTACGCATTGGCCTATTCTTCTACATAACACCACTCTGCAAAAGTCTCTACCTAGTTATCCAGCAATTACGGCTCGAAGATCCCAGAACCTAAAAGATCTTCTAGTTCATAGCTTTTTGACTCCTGAGGTACCAGAATCTAATTGGCTTACGAGAACTAAAGGAACATACAGATGTGGCCATTGTAAGGCATGTCGATTCATCACTCCTTCTCAGTCTACGACATCTACACAATCTCATGTTACGATTACAACCAATGCCTTGGTGAATTGTAGTACCACTCGAGTAATATATCTGATCACATGTAATTGTGGTATACAATATATAGGAAAGACCATTCAACCACTTCGTCGGAGGATTCTCCAACACATAAATTCTATCAAAAACACCATCAACCCCACACCGGTAGCAAGACACATCACTAATTTCCACCTGGGGAATGCTGACAATCTTAGGTTTCAAGTTATAGAGAAATTACTTTCCAACCCAAGGAAAGGGAATTTTAATAAACTATTACTTCAAAAAGAATCTAAGTGGATCTACTCATTTAAGACTCTAACTCCACAGGGACTTAATGAGGAGTTCAATTATACCTCCTTTATACATAAGTAATTTTGACTTTACAGACAATCAATAAAGAAAAGAAAATGTCTCTCTTTATCCATATTTCTGTTAGAGTTTATGAAGATTTTCTCATAAAATCATAGCGTCATTATTGAAAAGTTTCATCTGTTATACGTTCCTTATATAATCATGATAAGGTACTAAGTGATATTTAGAGAATTTTAATCCGTCTTCTGACCTAGCGGTAATAATATTTATATACAGTTTATTATGTTTAATTACAAGTAAATTGGCTGTTACTAAACTCTTTTCACTATTTTACTAATTTTTGAATTTGTGTGAATATACCTTTAAATTTTATCATTGGTATTTAATACATTCATTTGATCTAGCAGGAATATCAGTTTTGCACACATATATTATACAATACATACATGCATTATTAACATTAATAAAAACTGGTTGCTATTGAAAATCAACTCTTATTACTTATATTTTTGTAATATCAATCCTTGGGAAGATTTCTTTCGAATCTAGCTTAAAATGTTTTGTAAATAGCTGGATTTAAGATGTTTATTTAACATCTATATTTATCTATCTGATGACACAATCAATAATAAAGACATAACATTATACCTTTAATAAATCTCATATTAGACTTTATTGGTAGCAGAGAAAATCAATTGTATTAATGTGTATATAACTTTTAGATATGATGTATTTAATAACAATTACTGCAGTGAAATATTGAATGGAATTTCCTTCTTCCTCCTATGAGAGTAACACTACATTCATGCTCCCGTCTTGATTGTTTCATGTAGGTAGCTACGATATATCACGCCAATTGAATTCTTTTTCGGCTCTCTTCTTTTGATA